AAACTAGTTAGAATGGATACAGGGAGGAGAAAAAATATTGGACTCTCATTTCATGTATTTCCTTAGGAGGGGATATAGACATTCTGTCCAGATCAAGGCCCCTGTATACTCTTTGCTTTATCTTCATATTCAAAATACCATGTAAGGCAGGCTGAATTTTATGACTGTACGTTAAAATTCTCCTGTCAATTTACATGAATGTTGAAGGAGGTGTCAAAACTCTTTAAATTCAAGGTAAGGACCAACTGACAACCTCATACCCATAAATTCAAATATGGGGAGGTGTAACATTAACTCTAGTTGAAGAGTGCAGGGATTGCAAACTGAAGAAGTGCTTAACTGCTCTGATGGATCACTGCCTCCTTCTTCCCTGTTTTACATCAGACTGGTACAGTTGAATTGAACAAGAAAGACAGAGTAACGTAGCCATAGTTCATGGACAGACTGCAAATTTAACTTTTTAAGACAACCTCCCCTTTGACTTAAGTCAGCGTTGGCAGCTTAAATTAAGTAGAAGGATGTTTTTTGTAGCTTTATGTTCCTGTGCTGCAATCAGACCTGGAGAGAGTCTCTCAAAAGAAATATCGGAATGACTGGAGCCATTTTGAGTCACTGGTGCTGCAGGAGAGATGGTGCTGTGGTACAGAAAGTGCTTGGTACCTGCTGTGGTACAGAAAGTGCTCAGTGGGTAATCAGGTACTGAAAAGGGACTGATGCTGGAAGCCCTGACTGACATTAGCTTTCATCACCAAAAGGCCTGCTCCAATGTCGAGGGCTTCTCTGAAGTACACATGTTAAAACAGCCCGTTGCGAAGGGTAAAGATTACCCCAAGAAATGTTTAAAAAAACAGAGATAAGAAAGCAGTGAATTATTTTGCCCTTCTCTCATGTTCTACAAAAAATGGACAAGTTGCTTGAATACATTATTTTGGTAAGTATTTTGATGTTTAATCACTATTTGTGCAGGTTATTCTGTTAGATAGGTGTAGCCTCTGGATGTGCTGCAATCTAATTGAGAAAAATTAATTCCCAAGTATGGCTTCCTTGTGCCATACAAACCACAGCAGTAAATGTTATTGCCATCAACTTTGGTTGTCCTTTCAGTGATTTTCATGTAGGGGCTTTGTGCAGCCAAAATTATTTCCTAATCCTTTGTGAAAATAAAAAAGCAAACTCAAGAAAATAACGTTATATGAAAGTTCAATCACAAGGGAATATTTAAAAGAGTTGAAAAGTTCCTGTAAGCTCCCCAAGATCATAGTGGAGTTAAAAAGAGGAGGACTGGATGGACCTCAGATAGAGTCAGGTAAAATTATTCAAGAAGATAAGTGATATTTTCAACTTCAGAAAACTGAGCATGCACATTTGGAGAGTACTGCTGTTTCTTTAAGCATTGGTTAAGAAAAAAACATGTTAATAGTGTGAGATCTACTGATAAATTCAACAAATGCAATTTTGTACCTATTGCAGGAAACAAGCCTGACATTTAAATGAATGCCCACAGCAGTAGATTGAAAAGAATAAGTAGATAGCTTTATCCATTGCCAGCTGTCTTTCTTGTCCCTGGTCTTTTAGAGCAGTCAGAGTTGGAATAAAAGAGGAGAGAATTTCTTCTTTTGATAGAGAAAGGACTAAAAAATTAACTCTTTTTGCTTTATTAAAATTAGGACGCCATATCTTCATTTATTATTATCATCTTCCATTTTTCTTTTCGGCTCTAGCACAATATTTTGAGAATAGTTGGAATCAGCAGAGTAAAACTTCAAGCAAAGGAAAAGGTCATTCTGTAGAAATAAATATCAAAAATAGGTCAGTAGCCTGTATCATAAAGCCTTCTTTATGCTACTCTGGTAGTGGTAAAGGTTATTAAAGACCCAGAAAGAGTCCCAAAGGTTACCCCTTTGGAAAAAAATCACCGTCACTGGATCGACATTGTTCCACAGCATTGCATGGAAAGCAGGGTTCTTCAAAAAATAATGAAGCATGGAAAGAAGAGGAGGAGAATGGCAACCTTCAATCTAAAATAATGGAAAAAAACCCCATTCTCTTAAGCAGTTTTAGTGCATCTCTCTAGAGTGCTGAGGTTGTCAGGGGGATTGTGTGGTAGAGCAGAGAGCAGGGAAACACTGGTTCTCTGTTTTTAGGCAGGTGGCCTGCAAAATTCTTCTTGCTGCATTTGCCCCCTTCCAAAACAGGTCTTGTTTTAAAGTTGACTCAGTAGCATATGTGTCTGTACCTTTCTTAATGTCAGCTATAGAAATTTCAGTCTTTACAGCCTTGAGGCTACAAGCCTGCTTAGGTAGAAATTCATGCCTATTTTGCATTTTGTTTCCTTCTGTACTGAATGGGAAAGTTAGAGGGCATGTCTGAAGAGATTTGGTTTCTCAGGAGAGATGCAGCCCAGCTCCTGATAAGACTGAGGTTCATGGGCAGTCACTAGCAGAGTAAGGATAACTGTTACATGTGCTATTGGCTGAACTCTGCAGTACACCTGCAGTGACAAAAGAAAACCAAGTCCAGATCTGGTGCACAAGAGTTACTTCTCTGAATGGTATGTCATTTATTCAGAAATATGCATAACACTGCATGGGGAAGTGTCACTGAGTGAGATGGAAGGCCCAAAACCCCATTAGTCCCCTAGTAAATCTGCTTTGAAGACAGTAAGGACTAATCTGATCTATTGAACTTGGTACAATATTCCCCCAGGCAGATGATTTACAGTGCCTTCAAGTGCAAGTGCAGATCATTGCTGCTGCCCCCGGGGGTCAGAGAGGCAAAGCTCTGGCTGCTCAGTTTTCAGAGCAGTGGCACGTTTGAATTCTTGGTTTCAGTCGCAGCGAGAGGTTTTTCGTTTGGGTTGTACCTATTTTCTTTAAACTTTAATAACATGAGTTAATCACCCAAGTCAGATTTCTGCCTGCTCTGTTCAAGAAGGACTAAAGGACATTGATGCTGTGAAATCTGAGCTGTAATCTAAACAGTGTTCAGTTCCAAGTATCAGAATAAATATCTCTGTGCATCTGAGCTTAAACTATGATTCTTTCCCTCCTGACACTCCTCTGTCAAATCCATCGTCTCTCCCATAATGACAGGAAGCCTTTGACTCATGTACTGGAAAGCAGAGCAGCATCGTACACGTGTGTGAAACTGGTCAAAGACAGCTGTGACTTTGCGAGAGACCTGCACACTTCCAAAAATTGAGAATAACTGTTGATGGCAAATGTACTGTGCTGAATAGAACTTGGGCCCTGGGCCTGATGGTGCAAGGCAAGAACCTGATACTGCCACCAACAGCACCAGGGAACAGTGATGGCTCTGGGGACCTCCCTGCTCACCCAGCCACTCAGCTCCCATGGCACAGGCTAAGCCCAAAATTGCTGGTTTAAATAATCCCTGCTAAACTAGTTGAGCTCTGCTATGAGCAGGATCTGTCCTCTTGTTGCAAGACACAGAAAAAAAATGTATGATTCACCTGGACTCAGGGGACTGACATGCCTTTGTATTATCATTGTTGCTGCAAAAGTCAACTCTTATTTGTGCCACACAAATTTTCAGACTGCATTAGCATCTGTGTGATGCTTTGCCATGCTCACTGCTGAGCAAAGGTTATTGCATCCTGTGTAAAATCAAGAGGTGCACTGCACTGGAAAAATGTTATTTTGCATCAACAACCGTCTTGAACCTGCCCATGTCAGTCTCCAGACTGTTTCTGGGACAGAGCCATGCTATGTTCCTCCTCATGGCAAAATCACATAAATAATAAATAGTGAAGAAAAACTGGGAACGGACTCACGTAGGATTCAGATTTCTGATTCTGAAGCCTTTATCCAGTCAGTGGGAAAACTGCTGTTCTTTTTTGAACATTGTGTAAAATAAGAGTTTATTTACAGATAAAGAAATAACAGAAGAGTGCAATGGTATAAAACTTCACATACTGACTCTTTGCTTCCTCAGAAAGAGTAGGTAGTCTGTTTATTTTTGTTGTTCTTTTAACTTTGTTTTTTACTCAATAGAGACAATTTTTTTTATCTTTTTTTGTTGTTTGAAGCTGAGAACCCTTTCATAGGCTTTATGCTTGGAGCCCACTTGAAGATGGAAATTTATGTGGTATACATTTTTTCTCACTATGTCTTTTTGGCTAACCTTCTTCATAAAATCTCTGTCCAAAAGCCAAATATAAATTTAAAACACTAGCTTCAGTGCTGATGATTGAAGCTGCTGAACCAGTGGATGTCTCTACGACACGCACGTATCATATTCTGGTTTCAACCTCTGAATACATGAGCTTTCCCCCTCCCTTCAAAAAGGTGTGGTTGGCCAGTGGAAGTTCTGTCCTGCAACTCCTATTGCTGCCAGTTTCTCGTGTAGTAAAGTCTATGATTCCAGTGGTACTGTAAACTTCATCACTTCTGAAGGCATTTCTGCACATGCTGGACTGTAAAGTGACACTTGCCAGGTGGTTTCTGTGCTCAAGTACATCTGCTTTACCTCTCATAACTTATTCTGATTGTAAATGCTGTTGGTCCTGGCCCTGAGCCTCGCTCTTACTTTCACCATTGATTAATGAGTGCAGTTTCTGAAGTCTGCTCTGAAATTACACCTAGTTACAGTGCTCTGGGTGAGGTAGAGAGGACTTTCACATTGTTCCATATTGTCTATGATTTCAGGTAAGAAAATATTACATTGCCAAGCACAGTATCTCTTATTTATTGGATGACTCCCCTCGGTTTTTATAAAAATTGCTGGAAAAAATTAAATGGAAATTACTTAATTTGTAGGCCTATTTTGGGTCTTGAAAATTTCAAGGCAAATTTGTTTAAAATGCCAAAATATTTTAAATGTGCTGTTTCAGAAGTACCACAGGTCCTTGGAAATATCCCTTCATGGAAAGTAGCCTTCTAAATGTTTAACAGATGATAATAGGATTCAGACTCTTCAGGCTAAGAGCTTTCAGAAGTTTATTCAGTTTGTTTATCTAGGTAGAGAAGGGACACAGCATGTAATTGAATAAACAATGGTTTAATTAATTTTTCAATCTTGCAGTATAGCTAATTTGTACATGTGAATGATAACCTGTTTGGCAGATGCTGGTTTCAGATCGTAAAGAGACCAAAGAAACAAAAAGTGGCTTTTCATTGCCCTTTGTACTTTACTACTAAAGAAAGTATTATAAATCTTCCAACTTTTTTATAGATAATACGGACATATTATGAAGCTGGTTGTGAAAATAGTTTGTCTTTCACTTCAACAGGAACTATACCCTTTCCTGAGGGAAGGCAGACTGAGTGTCCAGACCTGGTTTGCACAGCACTTCCAGAAGCTCCCTAGGAATATGGGCTTATTGGCAGACCCGACCAGCTGTAGGGGCTGGTACATTGCCTGGGTGTATGTGTAGACACTACCAGGCTTTGGTTGGGTTGGCAGGGTTGGATGAAGCACCATAGAAACATGGCCAACTTTTTTTTGCTTTCTCCCTTCTGAATACAGGGCTGGGAATAAGAGAGAAGTCTGAGCAAGAGGAATTTGGCCGTTCCTACATCTAATACGTAGTTTCAAGCTTTGGGGTTGTACTTTTGGCTTGGTTTTTCGCTTGTTTGTTTTGTCTCTTTCTACTGAAGCAAACGGAGCATTTGTAAAGTGCAGATACATTCTGAAAAAAACCACAATAAACGGAAAGAAAATCACAATAATTAGAAAGACTGAGTTAAGGTCAAAGATAGAGTTGGTTAAAGTCATCACTCAAAGTTGCTCTGTAGTTTTCCTGTGCTGCATCACAGCTTCTCAGCCTTATGCTGGGCACTGCCAGTCCTGTTTGCTTGATTGTCTTTCTCCACGTCTTAGTCTTTTTTTAGAAGTCCTGAGCCCACAGCTGCATGAAGAAAGAATATACAAACACTAAGACTTCATAATAAATACAAGGTTGGTTTCAAACCTTGGTTAGGCTGAAGGAATCACACTGAGAGCTTAAAACCTCCAGTTTTTGTCAGATTTGTTTTACAGTGCCATTTTTAGGATCCTGATATTTTTACCGTTTTTAATTTGTTCTTTGGCAGTGATTTCAGGAAAAAAGGCAAGCATGAATTATTGAGAAAGTGTAGTTCCTGACACAGGTGGTGTGACTGGAGGATCATAGGGGTAATTTAGCAACTAGTATGAAAAGATCTTGTCAGGAATGTTCAGGCTGTGTTACATTGCCCTGTATGTTTTTCAGCTCCATTGATATGGAAATACAGTGAAGATCTAACCAAAAAGAATTTGGATGAGTGTTAATTGAAATAAGTAAAGAAAGCATCAGCAAAGATTTTTTCATTCTAATCAGACCAAACATGTCAGAAAGTCATTGGTTATAGAGATTACATCATCTGGTAGCATCTGTAGATCACGTGGATTGAAAACAAGCAAATCGTTTGCAAAGAATTAGAATAATAGTAGGTGTAGAAAGTCCTAAGCAGGTTTTAAGTCTCCAGGAAAGGTGTTTCTGGCCTGCACCATTCTGAACAATAATCAACTAGTACCACAACTAATCACTCTCTTAGTAAGATCTGCATGAGAGAAAAGTAACAGAGGGGATCTCTCATCTCCTTCCAGAGCCATAAATTTTGGGAAAGAGCAAGCATAAGGACACATCCACAGATGTGCAACAGCAGCCAGAAGCTGGGAAATTGAGGAAGATGTTGGCTCAAAGCATAAAAGTCAAACTGAAGGCTCAGCAAGCAAGATGTTAAGAGTGAAAACCAGCCCCCACCTACCATGTGGCTGATACGGAACTGGGAGTGGAAGCTTTTGAAGTGTTGGCTGGGTCTCTGGTGGGAAGGCTGTGTTCTCTCCACCCATTCACTGGAAAAGCCTCTGGTGTTTGCTGTTGGCTTTACTTACTTCTGGAATATCCTTTGTGCTAATAGATTTGTCTCTGGGCCAATACAGTAAGAAGTTTCTTCTGAAAAAGAAAAAAGGCAAAACCAGAAACAACAAAACCAACAATTAAAACCACAATAATAGGATTTAGAAACAAAACTAAATAAGTTTGTAGTAGCAGTCTGGCTGTTAACCTTTTCTGTACACAGATTGTTGTGATTTATTTTTGGAATATGTCACTAAGCTCTAGGTTTATTCATGAATACTCTGAGAAATTTACTTTCCTTTTATTACAGGACAGAAGATCCCTCAACTCTCTGATCTTTTCTTTCACTTTCTGCCTTATAGTTTGAAAGACTCTTTTTTTTTTTCTCCTGGCTCCCCTGAGTTATATTGCTTGGCTTTTTACAGAAGTACAATTTCTGTGCACCAAACTCTTCTCACATAATATAACTAAATCCATATGTCCAATTGATACAACTCAACACAAAACTCTGGCAGATGCCCTCTCAGAATCTGGCTACCACTTTGGCATTTTTCAGCCCATGCAGTTTCTTAAGAGATTTTTGCACATGCAGCTCTAACATTTGGCAGTGGGAAATCAGAGCACCTTCTTTCCTGCTGTAGATCTTAAATCATATGTTAAAGACTTGGTTCCCAGTTTTTGCATTCAAAGCACAGTGACTTAAAAATTAGCTGTCCTGTTTTCCTAGTCCTTCCTGTTTTTTAAAGACATGCTAAAAATTTGAAGACATTTGTTTAAAAAGGTATGGATACGTCAGCATTTTCCTAATGTTCCTCTGTCTTAATTCAATTGCTTTGAAACACAAGTTTGATCAGCAGCTGGTTCTTGTTTGCAGATGTTGTTCTGATTCTTACTAAGCTACATGAGAGCTGAAGAAACGGAAGCAGTGGTTTGTGGGTTGTGTTTGTCCATCACATTTCACAGCAACTCATCTTCTCCATCAAAATTAGCTCTGCCAGTTTTCTGCTTTTGACTTAGACAGAAAAAGGCACAACAGTATTCAAGCTCCTGCAACAGTCAAAGTCTGTTCAATTTCCTTATCTGAAAACTGCCATTTTGGTTCATATGCCTGTGAAATGAAGCTCTGTTTTCATGTGTCCTTGTTCTGTGACCAAACTCCGTAAATGAAAAAGATTAAACACTAACAGACGAGCTCACAACGTACTTCTACTGCACTGATCCTGAAAAAAAAGTCAAGCTGTTAAAACTGTCTGAGCTACCAAAAGGAGTTGTGAGGAAGTATGAGTGTTTCCAAAGATATTTGGAGAGAATACGTGTTTATATAGTAAATTAATTTCAAACAAAAGCAATTTATCTTGTCTGAAAATTTGCATGAGTTTAATGCAATTGAATTAGAAAAACAAGAACAGGATGCTTGAAAATTCTTACATATTTAAAAGCAGCACTAGACACTTTCTATTTTAGAACAAGATTTAATTGCTTTCTGTAAAATGCATTGGCAGGACAGTCATTTTCTCACCAGCAGGTAACAACAGTTCCAAAAAATGTGATTTCTCCAACGTAGCTGTAGGAACTGTTGCTACCTAGAAACTAACATGGTCATTAATCAAAACAAAAAGAACAAACTGTTATATAAAACAACAATTTTGCCAGGCAAGTACTTTGAGTCTGCCTAAAACAGTTGATCAGAACATACTATTCAGTTCTTGGTTTATTGTCTCCATAAAATCTTGGAAGAATACATGTCTGGTCCAGTAAATTTTTTTTTTTCCACGCACAAATATAATGGACTTCTGTAAGTGGTTTCGGGGATTTTTTTTGTGGAGTTTTTTTGTCTGTTGATTGTTTGGTTTGGGTTTTTTTTTTGGTTGGTTGGGTTTTTTAATCTTTCTAGTTCTTGAAACATTTTTACCTTATTGTGTCTGGCTTATTGCTGTGGTGGTTCAAGCACATGCATTGTCCACCTTGATTGCATTGGAAGCGCTGGAAAGGAGTGAACGCCGATGGGAAGTTTCACTGAGGGTGTTATTATCAATAGGTATGTTGCTGGTGATAACATGGAAATGTTTAGGATGATCTAAGTAGTCTTAAGGATAATAGGGTGAAAACAAGCAGAAGGAAATTTATGCTGATTCTTAGGGAAAAATACTCTTCGTATTGCATCCTGTTAAATTCCATAAAAGGTCACTAGGGAACAGGGGCTTGGAGTCATCTCAGACTGAAATTTGAGGTTCATTTGCAGGAAACTGTTTTGGCAGGATAAGGGACCCTTCTGATCCAAGATTAATCTTAACATTTATAGCAAATGTTGTGATTCCATGGGCCTTACTGAGCATTGGTACCTTTCTCAGTTTGAGTGTCCAAGTGCCATTTCAAACCAGCACTGGGAATCCCTATTCACTGGTGATAATACCATTCATCTGGAATATATCAATTGACCTGAGAGACATTTCAAAGACTAAGGCACTATGGTGTTGTCTTAGCAAGCATATAAATTATATAGATCTTTCTTAAGCAGAGATCTGTAATTGGAGCTCAAGCAGCCAATTTTCTCCTAACTTACAGTAAATGGGAGAGAGGAAATAAATTAGTTAGAAACCTGAGCTTGAATAAGAGTTTATTTGGTTAGAAATAATTCAATAGTCACTCAACTATTTATTTTGGGTTTATATTCCATTTCAGAGGCTGTACAAAAAGGGAGTACAGGAACTGAATTAATGGAAAAATAAAGTGAAATTCAGATAAGGTATTGTAAAATGTTTAATATTAATATTGTACATTTATCCTACATGGGCTACTTATTGGTTCCAGTAAGCTGCTTCTTTCATCCCTGTTATGCTCAATTTGATTTTGCTATCCCTTTTTTATAGGGATACATTTTTAAATTATGTGCTAGTTTACTTGTGACTCCTGCTCTCCTAAATAGTTGAGGATTTGGAAAACCATGTCTTACTTTTTCTACTCCTTCACAGTGTTGTAGAGGCTGAAGAACTATTTTCTAATTTCAATTTCAATTATTTTTAGGCTAAAGGAGTGACTGAACACAGATTACCTCCTCCTGGTCCTCCCCCAGGCACTGTACCACTGGCAAAAAGAGAATACTCTAAATTCCTTTGCTGTACAGTGATCTTTGTGTCTGTTATAAGAAGTTTTTAAATATTAAAGAATGCAAGATTTTTCTTGTATAGAATCTGCACAGCTAGAGCATTATAAAAAAAGGATTTATAAGGCTTTTTGCTCATTTGCTTGATAAAACTAACAGAAACACTCAATAAAAAAGAAAAGAGCTTGCTCGGTTTGGTATGCATACCAGGATGCTTGGTAAGCTGCCCAGGTGGTAAAAGAGTGTGATCCTTTCTATGGCATTCTTGTGAATGATACCTTGCATTGCATCCTGGTTAGAGAGAAATTTTTTTGGATATTGTTTTGAAGAAGTGAGGTGGCAACCTTCCAAGTCATTTCTTTGAAGAATCTGGTAGACATTTTTCACAGTACCTTGCTTTTATTATTGTAGAGCATTTTTCTGATGAACCAATGTAAGTCACTTGCACAGAAGTTCCATTCTATGACTCTTTGAGGTTATTTACTTTTATATTAATAAAAAGTAGCAGAGAGAAATCATGATTGTGTTACTTTCCAATTCATATATTATAGCATCATAAATAATGCTATATCAAGTTGTTACTTAAAGCAGATGTACTTTTATATAATAAGATTAGACTTTGTTAAAACTGATGGGTAGAAAAACTGCCTTCACCTCTCCCTCTTGCTGTCATCTTTGTTCAGTGTTTGGAAGCCAATGACCTGTAAGAGTCTCTTAGAAATCCCAACGTGATATGTAGGAAGCAGTCAAGTGTCACTGCTGGTCTCTGGCTTGTACAGCTTCTCAAATCCCACAGATGTGATTTAAACAGCTCTAAACCTGCTTTTACACAACACTTGTAAGGAAGCCAAATTGCCCTTTTCTAAAACCTTGAATTCATAAAAGACACAACCGGTATAAAGCCACCTTGAGTCTTCTTAATACTTGTTCAGCCTTAGGCTAAATGCAACTCACCACGGCTGAGCTCTCTGACTGTATCTAAAAATGCTGCAATGAATAAGTTCAAGTCTTTTCTGAATACTTCTAGATATTATTTTCTGGTATCTTGGGAAACTTTTTTTTTATTTATTGTGATCAGTATAATCCAAAAGTGACTACTTTCTTTAGGTTTACACTTACATACCTTTAGCTTCAAATCTGCTCAAAAATAACATACTGTTGGATAATTTGGTGCATAAAAATCATTCTGCCTTTGAACTTTATTTGACCTATCAAATTACTAGTAAAAATCACTTGTAGTCTGAGCTTACAAAGATAACAGACTGAGGTTTTCAGTCAACTTGTACAGCAAACTCTGTGACATTGACTTAAAACACTCTCTGACCATTTATTCATTACCAAGAAATCAAAATAGTTTGTTATTCAAATGAGCAAATGTAACAATACATTATTACTGTCAATTCAGTAGCTTCCCAGCCCATTTCTAAGTTAATTGGTTTAACAAACTAATTTTCTTCCTAGAGAAGATGGCCTGGAAAAAAAAGCAAAACAAAACCAGACCAAAATCAAATAAACAAATAAAACCACAACCCCCCCCCCAGTGGTGTTTAGAGTTATGAGGCAAATTTACAGAACTGTGGCATGCATTTATACACTGAAAGAGATGGAAGATAAAAGCACAGACTCTAGGACCAGAACTTCTTGACTCAAACCAGAATTCTTAGACTAAATCAAAATGAGTAGTTAGGTGTTTGATAGATGTAAACTAGCATGTAATTATCTGCACCAGACAACATAATTTGATATTAAACCCTTTGAAGAGCTTTCTTTATTTTTATGGATATAATCTGAAAGGATTACAGCTCTTATCCTCACCTTTATGTTGATTGCAGCTCTATGGAGTAGTATTTAGTTCTGCCTTTAGCAAAGTTCTCATGTGTTGTTGTGCAACGTTGGTGATGCTAACTGATCTCCTTCTGTATCCTGATAAAATGTGTGCCACTGGCATCAAAAGGTTCTTATCATGAAAGTATCGTGAAAATAATATTTAATTAAATGGCATTTGTAGTGTATTTTTTCTCTTTCATTGTTCCTCCTGTCATTACCTTTCTTCCTCCTTAGTTTTGTAGAAATTTCAGTCCGAGAAGCTCTGGATGAGGCTCCAGAGGCAGCAGTTGAAAGGAATAGTCAGAGAAGCACTGGAAGGACATCCCACCAGCAAATATGGAGATCTGACCTAGGTACTTGTATGTCTGTCAGTTTGTCTGTCCGATGTAGACACATATCTCCAATCAGAGTAAACTGGTTTATGTATTTTTTACTCAGAAGAATATTATGAAGAATATATTATCTTCTCTGGTTGCTTCATGTAAATAGGCCATTGTTGAGATGGGACAGAAGGAAGGGGTGTAAAGCAAGTGTATATAATTGCCATTTCCACTCTCCCATGGGCAGCAGTGTCTGTGTGAACTCAGAGTTTGGAAGTGCTTGGAAAAGTGTAGGTAATCCTGTGCATCACCAAGTACTCATTGCCAGTGGGGTTCCCATTTCTCCTCATTCTAAGAATTTCTGCAAGTCTAGGAAATAAGCTCTATTTCATTACAGTTTATAACTAGATTTTTTTCATCATAAAGTTTAGAAGATTAAGTATTTCTGCAATAAAATTAATCTTTGTTTATACATTCTATTGCATGTGCTAGTTTTTCTTATCACAGGAATTAACCTCTAGTACCAAAACTCATCATAAACTGTAAAAATTAAAGAGGACACTAAAAACATAGTATTAAAAAAGACATAAATCAAATTAAAATTAACAATAAGTTTTCTAGTTGAACTGTTTATTGCCATTCATATTAAATTTTATGGGAGAATAAAAATGTCTGTTATTTCTGTGCATCTGACCATAAAATTGCAAACTTACCCATTAGTTAGAATAATGATGTTCAAAGCAAACATGCATTCTGAATGACCAAACCATCTGAAATTTAAAAATATTTGAAATTAATGACATGGAAAATAATATATTTAAAACAAATCTATACAAAGTTAATATATTTCAATGTAAGTAGGTTAGGCATTATCAAATATTAGATTACAAATTGTTATCTGCAATAAGAAATCTCCATTAGCATCATTTACAAGAAGCCTTTCACAGAAATACACTATTCAGAGTAATTAAATCTCTTGAGTCACAAGTATAGCAAGTATCTGAAAAGTGATACAAAACCGCTGGCAGAAAATTTGACAATGACAAAAAAACCCCAATAAAGTAGCAATAAGTAATGGTGCTAGGTAAGTCCTACAGCTCAGCTTCAGTGAGCAAGCATGTTTACTGTAACAGTGCAGATTATGGTTTCTGCGGAAGAAGAAACCTTTATGACTAAATACTCAAGTTTGTATATTCAGTAGAAGTTTGCTGTTTTAGCTGTGTTGCTGTTCTATGTGTCCTGAATTTTTATTTGAGTCTGGGAATTTAAAAGCCTCAAAACATTTGAAATAAGTCAAACTGGTTTTCACATCAAAATGTGAAAGGGGCGAGTTTCACAAGGCTGCAACAGGAAGCCAAAATCAGAACTGTTATTTCTAAGCCTGATACCAAGGCAGTCGTAAGGATCTGAAACCTGTGATATGATTTGCACCATATCCACTTGTTTTTGAAACTAGATAAGTTTTCAGTAATCTTCTATTTATTATGTGCTTTCTCTAATTCTAATATTTAGCCTCTAATCTTGCTCTTGTTAAAACATCCTGTTGTTACAGAACTTCACTTTGTGATGATTCACCGCACCAAGATGTCTTTCTGTTGAATTATGACACTGTTGCTGAGTCTTCATTCTTTATTTCATGACATATTTAAAGATAAATAGTTCATACCTGAGATGCAAATTCTTTTATGTGACTAAAATACGTGATAACCAGCTCAGACTAATTCATTTCTCTGTGACCTTAGGCAGGACAGTTCAGTTCTCTGTAGCTAACATTCTTATCTATAAAATGTGAATGGCATCACTTCATTTGTTATCTAAAAAGAAAGCAACTACAGAACTTTTTGCCTCTAGCACTGTGATAATGCAAATCTGAGAGGCATTACTGTTCATGATCAAAGAAATTAAAAAGTACTACATGGGACTAAGCAAGTACTCTGTACAAGTCGAAGACTTTGTGTGTTTTACACCTAGACACAAGCACTTCACCTTTGAGTACTTACACAGAGATTTGGGAGTTTGTTGTTTACTAGCTTAAGACAACCAAACAGTTGGTTTTCTGTTCATTACTGAGCCTGCCATGTAAAGAGTTCAATTTGCAAGTGCATTGCATTTGATTTTCTTGGTGAGGGGAACAAAGATCTCAGTCAACAGGGTCTCTGGAGAGGTGCCTGTGAAGTCTAAAATGCCTTTAGGAAAACTGCAAAATCTCCAACCTGTCCATTTCCACCACACTGAGAAATTCCACATCAACAGCAGTATGACTGGGCTGCAGCCATCTGTATGGAGAGTTTGTTTTCTGAGGTGTGAGCCTGGTGAATATTCTTCATTTAACAGTGTTTTTTTATGATTTAACATTGTTGTTTTAGTTATCAATATTTATGCCTTTCAGAAAATTGAGTGTTGGCAAATGCAAAATAGTCACAAATATCTTTCATGTCTCTAAGTGGGGAGAATGATAAAGGCCATAATTTGGTTTTAATTTTTATTGTCATTGTCAGTCTTGTGTATAAACCATTTCTAACTGCCTTGCTCTAAGGGGTTGGATTAATATTTTTTTTTCTCTTCTAAACTAGTCAGAAATGCAGTTCATTCTTTTTCTCATTTTATGACTTTTCTATTTTTATGACTTAAAAAATTATTTATTTTTATGATATCACTTACTGTGGTATTAGACTTCCTCTAACTCACAGTTTATCTCCATCTTATCTTGCAGACTCACAGGAAAGTTCCTCCTCTCACAGGCACACTTCATCTCGCATACAGATACCTCCTTCCTGCTAAGCTGCTATTAAACAATGTGTTGTTGTGCTTCTATCCATTTGAAAATCACAAAGCACCAAATACACTTAGAATGTATCAATTAATTTAACTCACAGTTTCTTCTGTAAAGGATTGTAATTGCTTAGGACAGAACACATGTTTATATGGCACTCCTAAACCTCACCATACCTTCATGTTGTACTTTCAATGTAGTATGGAGACATCTAAGGAAGGCTTCTGTAGCCTAGTTACAAAACAAGCATGGCTCAGTTCTTACAACTTTCTTTAAAGAAAATCTACAGAGGTATATTTATAGATAGATAATATTTTTGGAATTTGTTATTCTGACTACTTCCCAAATTTAAGCACATCTTCAGAATATTATTCTGCTGTACAGCAGGATTTTTGCACTATGTTAGCTGGAAATATGTCTGCCTATGAGAAATACTGTTTTGTAAAGCCTTATGTACACAGGTGAGACCCGGGTGTAAACTATTAAAATCTTTCCTTCTGGTCCTGCACTCTGATTTCCAGGGGAGATGAAGCCAGGGCCATCCAAACTTCACCATTACTTCTCTGGTCTGACTCCTGATCTGGGTAACCAGAAACTCGAGACTCACCAAAGCAACCAGAGCACCCTGAGAAAAGTATATGGTTATCTGAATTTGGATTTTGAACTTGCATGTGCTTTCAGATAAAAAGGAACACCTTGCAGGACTCTAACTGGCACACTTAAATAATAGTAGCATTTAAAGTTCAGCTCTTTTTGTTTTCCTTTATAAATTGGGCTTCATTTGGGGGATTTGATTTACATGAAACCTGAAGAAGACAAGGTTGCCATTGTATTGTTCTGTTATTGCCATATAATGCCATCCATCATAGATTAAAAAGGTGATGGTATGATGTTTCTCTGTTTGGGTGCAATGATATTCAATATGCTTTTTGGAGAGCTGTATGGTCAAAGTCAGAGAAACCAGAGCTTTTCTTCTGACCTTTCTCATGTCCTTTGTAGAATTCTGATAGAGTGGGAAAATGACTTCTAGGTCTGTAAGGTCTTCTTAAAACAAATAAAGGGATGTGGATTTGGTATCAGGTAGCCAGTATCTTGAAGAACAAGAAATCATTTAAAAGTTGGCATGCATTGAGTCTTTTATTTAAATTCTGATGTGCTGTAAATAAATTTTGACTGCCCTAAAATCAGTGAAGTAGAACACTTCAGAAAAGTTTTAGAGATGACATTACTGTTCTCTGAAGAGATGACTTCATTTCATCACTATTTTTTCACTCCCTACCTCCAGTGTGGACGTGCTTTTGCCCAAAAAGAGAGCACCTGAGAGGACAGGCAGCTTACAGTTGTTTTTGCATCCTGCTCTGGGCTGCCTTTTTTTCCTTGGTACTTTATAAATTGATCTCTGCTTATAGACAGAAAATGCCTGTGGGTTGTAAGACTGTACAGATTTAGCCTGCTTTGTATAAAAGAAAGTATAATGCAGGATTCAGTGAAAAGATAGGCAAATGCTTCTTGTGCTTTCCTTTTTAAAACTTAGAGAGTAACGATGCTCTGAGTGTACGGGAGAGCTTGGGACGTAGACTGGAAGATTTATTTGAAGTTTTTATTGTTGGGCTTGTTCTGCATCTGTCTGATCCATCTGCCTAGGTCTGATCATGTCTGATCTGGGTCACAGAACCAGATGAATGTCTCTGCCCTTAGCCTGAGTTGGGAGATTTTTTAATGTACTTTTTATCTGTCCTTCACTGATGTATCTACTGCTTGGCCCAGAATATTCCCTTACAATTTTTTAAACACATTGCTCCCTTTTTGTTTTTCAGGATATACAGGGAGAAAGTCAATAGTGAATAAAATTTAGTAGCTGTTGATGTGCTACTAAATAAAGATAATTCAGTATCTATACAGCAAGTCTGGTTATCATAAGCAGACATAAAAAGCAGTAAAAATTTAATTAAACAAGTTGTATTATTGTTATCCTTCAACCTCAAATAGAGCAGGAAATAGTAATATTAAAACTGCTGAACCACATACTAGGAGATTTGCAGACATTTATAATTCAATGCAAGAAAATAAGTAAGATCAAAATTAGTTTCAAGTTGAACTAAGTCAATGGTTATAAAATGAAGTTGCCTGAATTACGTTCTCCCTGAGAAAAGGTATGTCTTACCAGAGAAGAGACACGAAAAATAAATTACTTTGCACCATAGATATGCTCTACTGTATACATATGGGAGGCACCTGTAGCTGTTCTAAGAATGCTCTGTCTAGAAGTACAGGAATATGGAAGATGATTCAACTGGTTTTTTGCTTCCACAGTTTGGGCTTAGTTTGAGCACAGCAGAATTGTAAGCCCAGTGCATATCACAGAATTATATTTCTGATCATTTAGAACACAGAGTCTATAAAATATTCATAAAACCTCTGCAATTTGAATTAGCCTTTCAAGTAATGAAAAAATACATCAAAGGAACACAATAAATGAGGGTGTCCCTCTACTACATGTGATATGAAGCATAAGGATTTCTTTTAAATATTTGATTCATGAAAAGTAAATGAGACATTTTCTGATGCAACAATTATGGAATTTCACAGAGTATGAAAGAGTAACAGGAAAGATACTGTGTTATTGTTAATGGCTCTATTTCTTACCATCTAAACTAATGAGAACCTTTGATCTTCTCTGATTTCTTCATGCTTCGTTGTTTCCATCATTGTCAAAAGCCTGCTTCTTCACTTCTCTTGGAAAATAATCTACATAATGCAAAGTGACTGTTTGTGGAGTGCAGTGAGTATTCCACTAGCCAGGAAGAAAGGGCATCATCTGATAAAAGGAGACACATCCTTGAGACAGCTATAAAATTAGATAATTTTAGCAGAGAGCAGATTTTTTTTTTTCCTGCCAGTCAGGATTTAAACAAAGAAATCATCTCACATTTGGCAAACAATTTTGCTTCTCTAAAGGAAAACATAACACTGAATGAAAAGAGTTAAGGTTTTTTTTCTCAGATAATGTTGTTCCTTGAACATTTTTAACTGCCTGTTTATTGAAAAAGCAAAAAACCTGAAAAACTATAATAGTTATTGTTCCGGTGACATAGGCAATGTTCATGTCATCTTTTTATGAATGCATTTTTAATTTCAGTTTTCAGATTCCTACATCGCTAATTTTTACTTTTGGTCCCCAGACACCAGATAGCTATGTAGGAGGACACCTGCCACTTTACATATTGCTGATGTACAAGTTTGAATAAATTTCTTTGAAGCATTGATGTTGGATATTAAAATGTAAGTCTCTAATCCTATAGTGTCTCTTAAATTTGAAAGTACTTCTTAATTTTAATAGTGCCTGCCTCAAGTATACCTATATAGATATTTACAGGAACAAGACTGAAGGATTTTAAAGACTTTCGATTACAAATGTGTGTGTAGGTAGCACAGGACGATTATGTTTGAATATTTCTGTAAAAAAAATCATAATTTAAAAAGCAAATTCTTAGTCACAAATAGGTAATGTTGGCATGGTAGATTCCAAAACAGAGAAGATCCTACATGTGATACAGGACCTCATTCATACTGCATTTGTGCCCAGCACAATTGCCATTGGCTTCAGAGAATTTACACCAATGCGAATGACATGTGAACCCATCTGAAAGATGCAGTGTTCAGGAAGGTAATTTAAAGCCTTTTCTGTCTCTAAACCGGCTGAATTTTCAAACTGCAAGCAAAGGTAAAGTGCAGCTACAACATGACCTGTCCATCCGAGGTGTCCAGGCGCTCCCTACTCAGAGGCAGTAGCTTCTTGTCTGTTCTGCAGCACATCACAGCGCCCTCCCCTTGCCGAGGGCAGCCCTCAAACCGAGTCCAGCCACTCTGTGCCTTTGTCAGCGAGACAGTGCTGGGTCCCCTGGGCCTTTGTTTGTCTGAAAGTGGGAAAATAAAGCAAAGTCTGTCTTAGGAATTGATCCCAGTGGGACCAGAAAATGGACAGAGCTGAAGAGGCCACAGATTGCCCACCTACTGCTCTGCAAAATATCTGACTAGAGAGAAGTTAATTCTGATATTCCTTTTTGAAACTAACCTTCCTTAAACAACAACAACAAAACAAAACAAACAAGAACCAGTTTAATTCAAAGAAGCAGTGTGAGAGATCATCAATAAGCTAGCTTATCCCTAGAGGAAGGATAACATACTCTATTCCTCCTCTCATCATACACTCCCGGGAATATCTTGATCAATATCAGAGCTGTATGCAATATGTAAAAGAGATTACATTTCATAAGATATATTTTAAATTATACATTTCCACACACTGTATTAATATGAAATGCAATTTTATCTGATTTTAATACTTTAATGTTAGCTTCCATTATTTGCACAGTAAGCAAATGAAGAGATGCACATGAAATCTGGATTTAATTAGATAGGACATGCTATCACTTACTGACTGACATAAGTAGAATACATTAACTACAAGCATTATATAATACTTTTCTGTCCTGAGATGATGCACAGCAACACAACAGTTGTATTTAATGCTGACTGCCAAAACCCAGCTGTCTTTGTTTTCTTAAAAATACAGTTTTGCAGAATGTAAACTGACATTTTCTTTTTTTTTATTCTTTTTATTTTTTTTTTTTGGTGGCTGTGATTATTTACTAGATTTATCCACCTTTAAAAAGCATTTGTTATTTCTTTCAAACACTGTCCTTTCAGCCTTTCATTAATTCTACTTGTAACGACCAAATAAAAATACTACACAATTCTCCCATAGCTGAGTCTTGGTGCTGTTGCTGTCAGTGGCAACTTTCTTTACCTAAATGTGTTATTATTATATCACAGACAAGAGCACCAGAAGAAAGAACTAAGCAGAGAAGGAGTTTGAAGAAGAGAAGTTAGCAAGGCTGGGCCCTGACCCAGGGAAATGTCTGCCTCCAGGTATTTTGAAAACCTACTACAGAATGAAATTGCTTTTTCACTTTTTAGCTCCCATGGAGCATGTTCTAAATGCCTGTGTGATTCATCAATGTCCCTGATAATTCTCTGAGACATCTACTTATAGCCTTACTAATGCTATTTTGTTCCTTGCTGCTTTCTGAGCAGGCAGGTTGGAGGAGCTGGTACCTGCCGGCATTGCCCGGGCTGAGCCAGGCACTCACCCAGCCTGGTGCCTTCATGCAAAACTGCAGCCCCGGGATGGGTTTTCACTCCAGCAGTAGCACTATTCATTGTGGACAAATAACAGATGTCACTTCTTGCTGCTATGTTATGGCTCCTGGTGACCAACAAAACCAAGGGCAGTAATCAGTTGTGGTTTCTCCATTGCTCTCGGGCTGCTTTTCCTCTCTAAAGTACTGTTATAGCCCTTTCATTACAGTGGCATCTGAGCACCTCATTGCCTTTAATCCCTCAGCTGCTTCAAAGCTGTATCCAGCACTGCAGCTGCAGGAGACCACCTCATGCACCACCATGGCATGCAGAGATCTTCAGAGGGGGTTCATGCAGGTGGTGACTGCTCAGAGGTCAGCATGAGCTCACCCAGCCACCTCCTTGGGTTCGCTTTGTGTCCTGTAGCAGCCTGCTGGGACTGTGGTGAGTACCCTGTACTGTTCTGGTAGATGTGACCCTTCAGCCCACTGTAGCCACTTTCCTGATGAGTTTGTGTGGGTGGACATGCTCACACCTTGCATCCACACTGTATTAGCAATGACAGTGCTACAGGACATTTGGAAGACACAAGTGTCCTAAGGCCTGAGATTTCACCAGCGCAAGAAAGAGGATGTGTTACCTCCACACATGTCTCTCTCCGTTTTCTGTTGTTTGGGTTTTTCCTCTTGGTTGTTCGTTCCCGTTAGGTGAAAAACTTTCTACCCTGCAATTTGTTATACATAATTCACATAGAAAACTGTTAGGCAACATTAAAACATTTTTTTATTTTATAGGAGAAGAGTCAAAATAAACCAGAACCATTGAATTCCTGCCCATCTCAAGGGGTCTGATTTCCATTAGCTTCTTCTACTTCCACATGGCTTTTTGATTTTCCCTCACAGCAGACTCTTTCTTATGTTCAGGAAACCTTTGTATCTTTATTCATAGCTACCTACATAAATTCTTGGCTTGTTATTTATCTTTTATGATAATGCCCCTTTTATCTTAAAATACTACACTGAATTTTTCTTAATTTTATGTTAAAGGTTATGCTGACAAAGGCTGATAAAACACACAGAGCATTATTTGTATTTACTTTCAAAGCTTTAGTATCTAGAACAACATCATTATTTCTATGAAGTATTATCCATAAAGTTCATTTTGAAAGTGAATGCCATATCTCATTTTGCTTTGACATGCAAATGCATTTAAGCCTATCTATCTAAGCCTTTACAGCACATCCATCACACCAGAAGTGTGCTCATGCCACTGAATCAAAAGCTACAGCAGCAGTTAACAAGCAGCAAGCTAATTAATGGCTCAAACAAAAAGTTTTAAGAGTGATTTTTTTCAGACGCTTCACTCAAAAGTGATTGAGAAGGAAATGCCTTTTTAAAATTTTTATATAATGTCACACTAAATGAACCATAAAGAAACAATATAGAAAATACATAGCTTGGAATTTATGAGAACATTTCACAACTATTAAAGACCACATTTAAAGGTCCATATTTTAAATGGAGCTGAGGGACCTTTGAAAGCAGATTTACCAGCAAGGTCATCTTTAAAAATGGAAAGGAAGAAAACCAGATCCCAAACGTCACAGTCAGGAACATAACAAAGCCTAGAATTGCTGGACAAGAGAGGAAGAATGGAAACTAAAATGCTAAGAAATCATTATATAGATCATATTTATTTGAATCCAAAGAGAAATGTTGACTGTCAGTCACCAGCTAAATGAAAAATGTCATTGCAGCTGGCTTTCAAAAAGTAGAATTCTTTTGAACCAGCCATCCTCACTGGCTGCTTAGAACTGCTGCCCTTCACTAGCTTAGCTGATGACATGTTATTGCATCTCAGAACATACAAATCTTGCCTCATGACAAAACAGTTGTCAAAACATTATTTTTTTTTCTGATGACATATGGAAAGAAATTCTTTATACATATTGAAACCATTTTTCTTCCTTTGAAGCAGTTTCAGACATATGATACACAGTATAGTATAAAACCCAGTTCAAAAATAAAAAACTAGAACAAAATAAAATCTAAAAAATTTAAAATATGTTTACTTTTGGGAGAATCTTTTCTCCATCTTTACATCAATAGATTCAGTTTCTGTGAAATGGGTATTGCTTTTTCAAAGTAGAGTTGATGTTGATAAGACAATATATTGACTTGGATTTGGATTCTCTGGCAACGTTTCTTTCAAACTTTCTTTACAAACTGACCTAATAATAGAAATATGATCCATATTGTGTGAAAATAAAGGTCCTTTTTTCTTTGAGGCAATTAGTTTCCCACCCCCTCTAAAAAGACAATCCCCGAATCCCTTCTTGAAAGGGAGTACAAAAAAATCTAACTATTAATATTTGTTGGCAGTAAATATAAGGTCAAGCTCTTTCAGTATCTGAAAAATGGTAAGCAAAATAAATAATAAATAAACCTTGTTGCATTCTTGAGTACTTTTTTTTTCAGTAGCCCGTGCCCCCTCCCATCTATGGTGTTCGTCACACTTAATGTGTGGCAATAATTTAAGCAGTGTCAGACAAACACTTGTCCTTCCCTGACCCAAAAGTATTAGATTGTGGTCTGTCAGGAGAACCAGGGCTATTTGGGGAGCAATGTATTGCACCTGGACACATGATGGGAGGGTAGTGGGAGAACATACCCTCTGCATTAAACAATCATAGTGATCTGCATCTGCAATAGGTGGTCAGAGGTGGGCAGGGGCCCACTTTGTGCCCAGTCATGATTTAGAGATGTTTTGCACCACTGAGCCTGCATTTTAAGAATTATTTCATAACTAGAAAGTTCTTTTGTTCTATCTCTAGGTGAGGAGCTGAGAAAAGTCATGAAGCTCAGACTGCAGAGTTATTTCTGACTGTGGGACTACAAATTCCCAGCCTTATTTTAACAGCAGCTGCAATGGGGAGTGTGGTGAGTGGGCAACAGGTGAGGCTCTCTGGGGGAATGTCCCTGGGCTCTGCTCTGGCCACGCTGCCCAGGGAGGACAAGGACAGGGCAGGGACCTGCCACTCTCTGGGGCAGGCGTGGGGAGCTGTGGAGGCTGTGAACACCCTGGTGTGACTGTTGCCTTCGATGAGCTGGCAAAGGAATGAGGAAAACTTGCCAGAGATTCCTCTTGCTTCTTTTCTTGCACAGCGCTGGGAAAGGACAGTTTTCTGGCTGCTAAGATAATTCTCTGCTTGAAATTTGAATACCTTTTGCCTTTGACAAAGACATTATTACTGACGTTTTTACAAAATGATATTAGTCTATTTCAGATGCATTGAAGAGTAGCACTTCATTCACAGCTACTGTAGATGAGTCCAGAACAGAGCTGAATGGTAATTAGCAGTGATAACTGTTTGCCACCTTTTTTTTTAGTCAGAATTTTCAAGCCCTGTAAATTGGAAGTGTCTAACGCTAATAACTTATTTATTTTTGTATAACATTGAACTTGACAACCATTTTTAGTTATCAGTTCTTAAAGAAAACCTTTTAGAGCTAGAATCTTGTAAAATTGCAGCCTGGAGCAGACTTCACCAAAGTTAATGAGCCATGAAAAATAAGATTTAGCTTGAGAAGGCTGTTAATACATTTTTGCAGCTGTAGCCTATACTAGCAGGCTATGATCAGTTAAAATAGATACCTCAATTAATCCTTTCTTGGAAATTGAGAAAATAACCTGTATGGTTTTATTGAAAAAAATAATAATTGTCAGGTTTTCTACAGGGTTTTAGTACCTTTGTGGCATCAAGATGAGAAGAACCCTCACACCAAGAGGGAGAACACTCATTCCAGTGCAGTGTTAGTGCAAGGTACTGAGCATCACTCTCCTTCGTGCCCAGCAAAGCAGGGGTTCTGCGTGCTGAGGGTTTGCTTTCTGTACACCTTGGGCTGGCCCTTGGTTACCCAGGGCTGGAGCTGTGAAAACTCTACTGGCCTGCTGCAGTATCACATTGCTAAAGCTGGGAGGAACCTGGGGAGACGTGCTGATCAAGCCTGAGCTCTCTCCTAGGCTTTACCTCACCATCACTACCACAGGCAAGGCATCAGGTTTGGATTTACAAAGAATCAAACAAACACAGTGGTATATCCTACCCCTGTAGTTTAAATACCATGTCTGAACATTATGCTCTGAAAACAATCGCGAAATACTCTTTTGTATGTTCTGCATGATATTTGGTGTTGTCTTCTCTTTTTTCCTAACCTGAAATAATAGTAAACTGTATCAGGGAAAAAAATGCAAAAATGCAATGGTAAATTCGGGTGTCTGGGTTTGGGTTTCATGCTAACACTGTATCTACATATTTATAGGTTTTCTTTTAGAAGAATAGGTTGTGTCTTTCCCTACTTTAAACTAAGGACGTCACATAAATACAAAGAAAGCAAAAAACAGAGAACTCTAAAAGCCATCTACTTTTTTGGCAGAGTGAACCAATGCAGTTCATCTGTCATAAAGTTTTACTCAATTTTGTGCTGCACTCACAGATTTTTGACTTGCAGGATATCCTTTTTTTCAAGACAGAGTTCTGGAAAAAGCAGAAACAAAAAATTGTCGCTACATTCACCGTGTTGGTCTCTTGTTCCAAGTGTCATTTTTGCTCATGCTGCTTGGTAAGATCATATAAGAAATGACAAAGAAAGGTCAAAGAACTGTCACTTCTATATTAAAATAAAATAGCCTCTCATTTGCTGTCCTTCTTCACAATTTTCAGAATTTAATGTCAGTAAATGAGTGACTCACAAGTGACATTTATAAATTCAGTACATTTTATTCTATATAGAAAACAGAAATGGAACTTGTCACCTTCTGTGTGTTTTCTTGATATCAGATATTAGAAAACTATCTGACTACATGAAGAAGTATTTATCAAACTAAACATGCTATCTATATGTAAACACCCCCACCTGTTGCAGAGATTACTTTTATATCCCCATTTTTCTCCAGTCTTGGTGGCATATTGTAGCACTCAAAGTGCTGATAAAAATGATTGGTTTCTGCTGACTACAGAATGGGAAATGACAAATTGATTGAAATCCACGGATTAAAATAAAAATAATTGCTAAACTTGCTACTGTCACTTGTACACATTTACTTGCCACACAATGTCCATATTAAATAAACAAATGTCTCTCTAGTCTGAAAAGAATACTTGCACCATAGGTGGCTATGAACATTAGCACTACTCCTTGGAGGGCGAATGTTTTTATGAGATTCAGCACTGAACATCCCTCATTATTTTTTAGATATTGTACTGGCTGCTGCCTGCCAGCACCTAAGTATCTGTGACCATCTAGTCCATGTGATACATATTTAAAGGTGCACAGTGTTGTGTAGTGTGAGAATGGGTGCAGTTCTTTAATATGTGGAAAAGGAGAGCTCACACTCAATACCAGAATAGTTTTCTAGCCCAAGACAATGAAAAATCCCACCCAAAGGCAGAGGGCTGAATGGTCACTGGGTCTAGCTCTTGGTGCTTCAGGCAAGACACTGAATGATGTCAGCACATCCCCTCCCATACAGAAGCAGACCCACTACCTCACTCCCACAGGCTCACCATGCAGAGCCTCGATTACACAGCCCTCCCCTTCCTGGGCGCCCAGCACCAGCACAGCTACATTTCAAAGCCTTATTTAAAATCTAGATAACACACAGTTACCACAAGTATGTCTTAGGGGCAGGAGTGGATTGCTCTCACATTTTCTGTGTTGCTTTTCAAGGCCTCTTACTTCTAGATCTTCAATTCTCTCTCTGTCCCCCTTTGTTTTCCTGTCCCTGCCCAGGGCTGTCATCACCTAATTTCTATCGCACCCATGTCTCCATCTCCTTCCATGCTTCAGTCATTACCACATGTTATAGAGCTGTAAGGTATTATCTGCCCCTTACATCCACATCTGAAAGAATGACTAAAATCCTTTTTATAGTCTTGCAAAGCCTTAAATAGCCCATCTTCTGTTGCTTTCTTTCATTTTGCTGTCCAAGGTTTATATTGTGTTCTTTATTTCCTCTGCAAAGTCTGGCAACTTTCACTTCCTCACATCTTCTCCCTAGATATCTGTTGCTTTGCCTAAATCTCCGAGAGTCAGCTTTCATTCTGCTTGTTCTTTGCCATCCTATGAGAGGAGGTTATTTGTCCAACAACCTCTCAACTACTAATTTTCACATCTTACTGGGATACAGATTTCAGACAACTTTTGCCTTAATTTTAAAAATAATCTAAACTCTCCATCCCACTTGCCTTTATTAACTGTTTCTTTTGCTTTTTAAAAGTTTGGCCTTTTGAAACTAAAGCTTACTATTTGTTGATATTTAAACAAAAATATTGTGTGAGCTTCTATCACTTTCAAATTAATTCCTTCATCAAAATTCACGGCAGGATGAAAAATACCTTTTGCTTTGGAAATGGTGAAAAAGTCTTTCACCTGTAACAACCTGCATTGACTGAACCATCGTAACAGTATCTCTTCTCCAGTCTGCATTTGGGAAGGTAAAGTATCTTGTGATGTTACAGATCCCAGCAGTATTTATTCCCCTATTAAAATGTCTTTTCAGCTTTATCCCTTTCCAGTCCACTTGACTAAAATAGAGTCATAACAAGCAAAGGATTTAGGAGAGAAGCATCCTTCAACACCAAAAGAAATTAATCTACAGTAATTCTCCAACATGCTTCGGCTCCAGACTCCAGCTTTCACCAGCTTCCCAAGCAGTGTATGCCATCAGCCCATATCTCAGTCACGGCAGCAGCTTGACTGGTGCCACAATATCTGACTCATCCTGCAGCAGAAACTCTTAATTGCTGCTTTACTCTCCTGAGGTTTTTTTTATCTTTTTGTACTGAACAAACATTGCAGTTTTTCCTTTCTTCTTAAATCTAATAGTGTGACATTACAGTTAAGTAGCTTATGGTCCCTGCTGTTGAATAATAACATTTTTTGTATCAACAAGAATACTTTGTAATATTTCATGCAGTCAGTGCAGCTGTGAGCTGTGGCATTCTGAATGTTTTCTGTCTGAGTCCTTGAAAACCTCTTCTGTGTTTAAGATGTACAGAAGGGTTTTCTTGATTGAAGGAGATACAGTGACAGATTCTGCTGGATCAGGTCTCTACTATACACCTTCTGTTACTGCTCAGGTAGTGGAGATGAACGAGAGATGGGAACCTTTCTTCCTGTCAGTAATTCCAGAATTTTTTGAGAAGAGTCCATGTTCTTTTATGGAGAAGTTGTATGGATTTTCAATACTAGACTTTCTGCAATATTTGGGCTTGTGGGTGCAGGCAGTTTTTTTCCATACCAAGCAGAAATACAAATGGAAACAACACTTTGCTGTTCCTCTGTCTGTAAAAGTGATTTTCCTGTTGCTGCTATTCACTGGCTATTGAGTTGGAAAAGTAAATTCTGAATTTTGGCAACTTAGATCCATTGAAATTAGCAGAAAAATATACGGTCAATTTAGCAGAGGCTGAAGTTCCCATCAAGAGTGTGAGAGGGTCTGGTTTTATAGCACAGTTTGGTTCATATTCTGTGGAGCACAAAGTAGATATGAATATCTAAGGATAGTTAGGAACATATCAACATAAATATCAGTAAAATCAGTTGTGGTCAAGATAATGCCTATGCAAGACACAGATCTACCAGGACTATCTCCAGCCATTCTAAAGTTTCTCTGGGATGCAATAACTTACCTGTTTTATGACCTCTAGCTCAAACCTACCTTTGGTACTTGAGGGCTGAAAAACAGAAAATATGACATATGTGGTTCATAAGAAGGCCACAAAATTACAAGCCAATAAATCTGATGTCAATACCTCAAAAATCATTAGAAAGGACAAGAAAAATTGAAATAGATAAACTAGAATATAGATGAGTCTTTATTCTTTGTTTTTTTTAAGCAGACAAAAAGTCTTTGATAAAGGAGATCCACTTGATATATTTGGCTTTCTAAAAGGCTCTCAAAATCTCCCTCACCAAAGGAGAAGGATTAAAGAGCTGAAAACAGAGAGTAGAAGTTGAAGCTTCACTAAAGAAATACCCTTTGAGGGTATTTCTATAAAAACCCTTTGAGAGAGGCAACTGGTCATTGAAATGGTAGATAAAATCCAACAAAATAAATGGGAAATTATATAGATGAAGGAAAGAGAAATCACAGTTTCACATATAAAATGATGGGTTCTAAATTACTGCAGACTGCATCTTGCGGAGTAATACACAAGCCATCAGCTCACAGAATAGAAAAGATA